GAAGTTAACTGACAGTTTCAGCTCAAGTTTTTCTGCTTATAGTGGACCCTCGACTTAGAGACGGCTCCACTTACAGTCTTTCAAGTTACAGACTTCTCTCGCTGCAAAATTTAGGTTCGACTTGCAGCCGGAGAATCGACCTACAGACCAGAAAAAAACCAAAATGGAACAAAAACAGAACAAAAACGGGTGGTTATGGATTAATCGGTTTTCAATGCAGGTCAATGGAGCGTAGACCTACAGACTTTTCGACCTGCAGCCACTGTTCCAATACGAATTAATTCCGTAAGTAGAGGGTTCACTGTAGAAGGGGTGCACGCCCCAAACATGTCACAAAATGTCTCCTTTAGCCTACCAGGAAAAAAAAAATCCCCATTTCCTCCTTAGTGTCCCTATTTTGCTACAAAGCCTTGGCTTGACTCATGGTCAAAGTCCATGCAGCTGTCTTCACTTGCCTTTGCTGTTGTGCTCTGTCCCAATCTTCCCTGTCCTTTAATCTGTTCTCAATTTTATTCTTTACACTTTCATCCATTTCTTCCTTCATTGAGTTCCAAGTGGTATAACCGCCCCTAATTTTTTTTAATGCTCCTAATCATTATTTGAAGTGAGTTCTGATATGGGTTACTATCCGTCTTAACCAAGGGTGCTTTGTGAGTTTTGCAGCTATTATATGATTATTACACTTTCAGGAAGGACTTTCACATGATGCACACCCTTGGTGCAGTTATAGACAGTGGCGCCATCTTTAAACTGCACCAGGGCTTCTGTCCCACTGCGGGATGGCTTCTCCGATACTGACAGCACCTGGTTCGGGCTTAATATACATCAAAAATGAAGCCAGTGTTGCTTCCCCCCAGGCAGGAGAAGTGTCATGCCTGGCCTGTGCCATGTAGGCTTTTTGACCACCTCAGTGCTGCCTAGCTGACCATGTTGTTTTTGTTGAGGAGTGGGCAGGTCCAGCAGCTCTTTCCTCTCCAGGCCAGGGACTGCTCCACAATCTGCTTTAATACAAGGAATTGCATTAAAGCAGGATGTGTGAAATGAGCAGTTCCATGCCTGTTTTCAGGTAAAAC